CATGTTGTTGCTGTGGTGTTCTTGTTCATAATGTTCTTCTTCATGTTCAACAATATATTTGACGTCATTAAATTTGTGCATTATTCTAAACGGACCATGGAAACGTTGATCTAATTTTGATCTGCCTGTTAGGATTCTAATCCATACTAAATCTCCAATTTTGTATTGAATATTTGCACGCCGTATATCGTATCTTTGTTTACTCAATTCTTGTTGCTGTTGGATGTTAAATCGTGCAGCCGTAATAGCGACTGTTTTAAATTTGCTTGCCTTTTTCCAATAATCATTTGGTTTTGACATAATAATGGTTGATGATGGTGGATCAAATGGTGAACGTAATTTTCTGTTGAAAGCCAACTCATATGGAATGTAACCAGTGGTGGTATGAATGCTCAAATTCTTGAAATGCGTTCCTTGGTCTGATTGTAAATAATTGATTGCACCATGTTTCAATATAATATCTTCAACTAACGTTGCAGCAGCGTCTTTGACAGTTTCGGACGACAAGGCTTCGGCAAAGATAAATTTAGATGATCGATCTGTGATTATCAATACGTATTGATTACCATCCGAAGATCGAACGGGTGATTTCCAAAAATCCATTTGCATTACGTCGAACACTCCTTGTTCTTCTTTCTGTGATAATCCTGGTTGTTTTCGTCGTTGTATATTGAACCTGACACATTGTTGACAGGAACGAATATATTGTTTCACTGTTTCGAACATATTGATCCAACAATATTTGTCTTTAATCTTGTAATAGGTACGGCGAATACCAAAATGACTACTCTATGGATGGTCATGATATGCTGATAATATATCGTGCACCATTGTTGTTGGAATCCACGGTAATTTCACTTTGGATGAACCGCCTCTTGACACTAATTTGTATAAAATTTGATTATTGACAACATCGTCTGGAAACTTGTGTGGATTATTCTTGATGTCTAAAATTCTTGCTTGTATAAATGAATCAGTTTGTTGTCCATGTTTGATTCGTGAAATATTGAAATCAATGAGTGATAATGGCGTATTGGATGTTGACATCATACTTGTTGGTGGCGATGAATCTGAAATGATGGGTGATGTAGATGTATTGATATTGATGGTTTTGCTTGTTTTAGACCTTGCCATCGTTGTATTTGGCTGTAAATTTACTGGTGGTGATGTAGTTGGAAGATGTTTACACTTGGACCTTGTGATGACGTTGATTGTAGAACTTGAAAACAATTCGTTTTGTTGAAATATTCATTGCTGTGTTGGTTGTTCATCGTCATCATCTGGTTCACTGATGGGAAACCGAGGTAATAAATCTGCATCACAGTTGCAATTCCCACATTTGTATTTTATCTGTTGAATATCATATTCCGACAACTCGACAGCCCTCCTATCAATACGACCGTTGTTATACTTCTTTTTATTGAAACTACATAGCGGGCAGTGATCCATTTCCACAATGAAAGATCGTCCCCATAAATATTCTTTCAATTTTTGAATGCACCACACCATTCCAAGACATTCCTTTTCTGTGGCTGAATATCTCTTCTGTGCTGGATTGAATTTCTTTGATAAATATTTGATGACTTTCAAACCATCTGATGTCTTTTGTTTGAGAATGCCACCAATACCTTCACCAGAAGCATCTGTACATAATATCAATGGTGATGTGTCATCAGGAAAGCTTAACAATAGAGGTGATGTTGTAAGACGATGTTTGATTTCATTGTATGCCTTTTCGACGGTGGTGGTCCACTGAAATTTGGCATTTTTCTTCGTGCATGGGTATAATGGTGCAGCTATTTTAGAAAAATCTTTGATATGATCTCGATAATAATTAGCTGCTTGAATGAATGAATGGATTTGTTTGGATGATGTTGGTTTTGGCAGTTTCATGATAGCTTCAATGTTGTCTTGCAGTGGTTTAAGACCTTGAACGTTAATAGTATGGCCCAACTAATTCATTTCGGGCTTGACCATCGAACATTTATCGGGATTAAGTTGTAGGTTGGCCTGTTGTAACACCGATAATATTTCTTCCAAATGGTTTAAATGCTGTTCAGGTGTTTGTGAGAATATTATAACATCATCAATATACACAAGACAATAATCCCATCTTGTATTGATTAACAAATCGTACATAATACGTTGAAAATCTGATGGTGAGTTTTTTAGTCCTTGTGGCATCACGTTAAATTGAAAGATGCCGTTGCTTGTGACAAATGTTGTCTTGTCTCTGTCTGCTGGGTGTATTGGTATTTGATGATAACCGCCTTTAAGATCCCGCTTGGTAAAATAATTATTTCCATTTAATCGGTTTAATGTATCATCAATCCTTGGTATTAGATAACAATCTCTTATTGTTATTTTGTTTAGTGCACGATAATCAATGACAAACCGATACGTGCCATCTTTCTTCTTAACCGAAATGACAGGTGATGACTAACTTGAATATGATTTTTGTATTTGTTTTGCTTTTATCAGATCATCGATTGTTGTTGAAATATGTTGTTGTCTGAAAGAACTGGTTTTGTAAATTCTTGAATGAATCGGTGGATGATCTCCGGTTTTAATCATCGGTGGAGCTGTTATTTTGGAAATTGTTGGTGTTCTTGTATCAAATATTTTACTGTACTTTTCCATTAACTGCCGAACTTTCATCTTCTCTTGTGGATTATCGAGATGGTTCAATAATTGATCAAAAACATTGTTCAAATGATCAGAGTTGTCTGGTGGTGAATGTTGTTCCGTCTTTAATGTATCGGATATATTTGATTTATGTGAATGGATGTTGAAACACTGAATTTCAGGTGGTTGTACATTGATTGTTCCAATTGTTGTATGTGTTGGTATCGTACACAGTCTATTAGTTAGATTTCCAACTGTGATGTACGTCCGATAATTGTTGATGGATAACAATGCATGCGGTATAATGATTAATTTGTGATGTTGAAGTATCCGATTTGGGTGAAAAATGACGGTGTGCGCTGCTGAAATAGGTGTTATAAGTTGAATGCTGATTTCGTGTTGCGGTGGAATGGTAATAGAATTTCCACCGTTCCATCCATTTCAATTGTTGTACCACCATCGGCTAATATAAATTTATCTTTTAATTTTCTAATTGGTTTATGTCACATTCTGAGTAATAATGACTTGTGTATGAATGTGTTGGTTGCACCTGTATCTACCATACATTTGATTCTACTACCATTAATCGGGACTGTAATAAATGTTAGTGGTGATGGATTTGTTGTTATTACAGAGGCGCTACCATCCGGCGACTCTGTTATTAGTTTAAATGTTGATTGGGACAAAATTTTGAAATGTGGCCACGTTCTTGGCATATATAACAAACAACGTTAGTCCGTCGTCGTTGATCATTTGATTGATTGGACATTGAATACGAATCATGTTGTTGTGATGTTGTATAATATGTCTGTTGATAATAATTATTCTGTGGATTAAATGCAGCATAATTTCTTTGTCTATAGTATCCTGGTTGTCGACTGTTGGTATTGTCCATTGCTGATGACTGTGTTTCACATTGTCTATAAGCAATGATGTTTTCAATAATTTCCATTTGTTGTAATTTTATCGATAATTCATTGGGTGTTTGACATTGGGATCCAATGTGTTGCCTCATGGCTTCTTGGTACAATGATATTTTCAAACCATGGATTAATTTATCAACTTTGTCTCGATCTGATATGGAATTATCGCATTGATTATATAAATGTATAACATCATAATAGTATTTCGTGACAGATTCATCGTTTTGTTGTTTTCTACTATATAACTGTTGATATATCAATTGTTTATCAATGTGATCTAATGGCGGTGGAAATTGTTGTATTAATTGTTGCGTTAATGAGTTCCAGTCATGTGAGTGTCGATTATGTTTCAACCACCATTCAAGTGCATTATCTTTTAAAAACCCTGGTGCATATTGATAAGCTAATATTTGCTTGTTACCATATGTTGATACCACATCGAAATAGTGATTAATGCTTTTCACCCATTTGGTTACATGTTCTGTTGGTCGACCATGAAATGGAACGACAAAATCTTTCTTCTGTTGTAAGTGAGTAGGTTCCACCATTATTTGTTGAACAAGTGACGCTGTATCCGCTGATGATTGTGGCTGCTAAGGTTTTATTGAATCCAATGACGATTGTTGATGTTGATGTTCTGGTGTTAAGAATGGTTGCAGCTTGCTTATAGAATATTTATCAAAAAACATATTAATAAATTCATCCCATGTATTAATTTTGTTCTGATTTCTGCAATACCATATTAATGTATCACCACTTAGTACTTGAGAAAGTAATTTAAGTCGTATTTCTTCCTTAACATCTTTCCATATACTATCAATTTTAATAAACCACTGGCATGGATCTTCTTTGGTAAACCCACAAATTTTGGGCCATTATATGTAGATACTGGATATTGTTGGAACATATCTATATCGTCTTGTGATAATGGATGATTGACTGTAAATTCTCGTTGTTGTGGTTGATTGTTGGTAAGTATTGATTATAATAATGGAAGTGTATGTTCTGTCCTGCCAAATTGATCATCATTTTGTCCTTCTTTTTCTTGTAATAGTGGTAAGGATGGTTCACTGTTGTTTGTTGGTGATCTGATATGTGTGTCCATTGTTGTTTTTGATTTAGACATCCTTGTTCTCGGTGGAAGTTCTTCTGCGAATTCATTTATTGTCTTGTTAATCGTCGTTGTTGTTCTTGTTTGATATTTATTTTCTTGTGAAGTCGACATGTAATTGTATTAAGGGGGGGCGGACCCCCACAAAAGGTACTATTAGACATTCTCAGATTGTAGAGAATACTTGACTGCATATATCCTGCATTGTTTTCGGAGAGCTGACAAGTATTCACAGAGTTATAAATTAATTAAGATAAAATTTTAGCAAAAAATTTAACGCCTGAGTCTTTCTTTAAAAACCTAACTGTTTAATCAAAACTAATTATACAAACATGATTCTAGTGTACTTTGATCGCGAATCACTTTTAGCTATGATCGCATTTAAGATATTTTAGAAAAAGCTGCGCTGGGACATAGATTAATCATTAATTAATCCTAATTAACGCCGACTATGAGCAATTCAGCGATTTACATTTTTATTTACAAATCAACCGTTCTTTGAAAATAATCACACGGTACGTCATCGAATTAGCTTTTCAAGCGCTACAAAACTGTATATTTGCTTTTCAAAACAATAAGCTTTTGACTGAGTTATGAATTTTTTAATTTTTGATGAAAATGACCCAAAACGGGTTGTTTCACCTATTACAGGTTTTCACTCCGTTCTTGCACCTTCTTCTGAACATTAACATTGCCAAGAGATTCAGCGTGGTCGATAATCTATGTTTTCATGATTTCAGAAGGTCCCAGAACGAAGAATAGAGCAATCTCATGGCTCCGGAAAAAACGTCCGGAGCTCCTGAACAGAGCAAAGCGAAACCTTAGTTTGGATCTTGTTTTGTAGAAGACACTTTGAACTATCTATCCATGAAAAAAAATCGATTGCTTGCTACGTAAAATGCTTAACCTAGAAACAGTTTTCCAGAGACGCTCTGAAAGACCGATTTCAGAAATTTGTTCAAAAAACGCTTTGCTGATGAAAATATAGATTAAACTGTCCTCTTTCGATTGCCGAAAACCGCAAATCTCTACCATTTATCGTCTTTGAATTATTCAGAAAACAAATACCGGTCTTATATCCTAGGGCGGACAGTAATATTTTTTAAGAACCTTGCCACAGATTGCGGCTCAACGAACCACGATAGAAAAAAGCTGTTGCTGACAAAACTCTTTCTTAACTTTGAATGAAGTTCGGTTAATTAAAATTTGGTTTTTCCTTGAAATGGCGATTTTTCCGAAGATTAGTATTTTCTAAGAGCCTTGCCACTGATTGTGGCTCAACAAAGCACGATGGAGAAAACCTTTTGCTAGCAAAACTCTTTCTTCGGTGCCAAATGGGGTACTGAGTGTAATACTTTTTTCATTGTAACGGAAAAATTGAATTTTAAGTTTTTTAATAATTTTAAATTCTTAAATTTGATTTTTCTCAAAACTTTTCCGTTACACTGAAAAACGTATTACACCCAGTACCCCATTTGGCACCTAAGAAAGAGTTTTGCCAGCAAAAGGTTTTCTCCATCGTGCTTTGTTGAGCCACAATCAGTGGCAAGGCTCTTAGAAAATACTAATTTTCGGAAAAATCGCCATTTCAAGGAAAAACCAAATTTTAATTAACCGAACTTCATTCAAAGTTCGCAGTAATTTCAGCATATAGGCAGTTCGATCTCCTTGATCGATCGGAGCCAGTCTTCTCGTTAGAACACGCTTCTTTAATGAACAGTGAACTTTTTAAGAAAAGCTCTTAAACTTCTGTAAACTTTTAAACGTTAAAAACTAAAAAATGGGGTCCGCCCCCCCTTAATTAAGAATGTGTTGCCAGGCTGTTGACGATCCGGTTCGTTGATTATTGTCGATGTTGAATACAATAACTTGGCTAGTGCACCACTTAGAATGTCGCTGCCAATGTTTATTTTTCGAACTGAACTTGTAAGAAAAACATGATCTATATATTATCTCACATGAAAAAATCGAATACCAGTGATGATACGAATATATTTGAAAAAATGAAAAATACGAATAACAAGTCAGGCTGGCAAACTAAGAGATTATATATAAGAAACGAAAAAGAAAAAACTAGAACGAAAATGAACATACATATAATCTATATGTGTGTGTAGTAAAGGAAAACTGAAAACTAAAAAATAAATTAAACAAAAGAGAAACAGTCTATGACTAAGAAAATGAATGTATATATTCACGAAAGGAAAATGAATACTGACTAACCTTTTAAAGAAAACTAACTGTCGTCTGACTAAGTGAAAATAAAGAAAGAAAGCTCGAAAGGATCTGAGAACGAGATTTGACTAGATCTCTATCTTCTAGAGTCGAGTGGAGGATCCTTACAAAATCACTACGACTTTTTAAGCAAACGCTTCGTAGAGCTGGGAGATGTCTCATTTTGAAGGAAACACTTCAAGCTAACTGATTCTATTATTTAAAAAGTTTTCTCTTCCTTCTAAAGAGCTGAAAATATTTTAGAAAGTGAAAGACTGACAAAAAAAATGTTAGGAGTCAAAAAATTGCAAACATTTTTATTATTTAGCAACAACAACGACAGCATTGCCATCACAATGTACAACTTATTCATCATTGAATGATTCGACAAGAGTGTATAGTTATTATTGTTCTGGATGCTATTCAGATTGTAGTATGGCTGTTGGCTGGTACCGTGTCGTTGGATTATCGGGCACCCAGATATTGAATGTTCAGCCACCAGCTATGGGTTATTGTGGAACAACCTATCCAGTATACTATTCTGGTACACTGCCCACATATTATGGGCAAATAGTCTCCGGAACTGCTTGTTTTTATGATGGTAGTACTTATCCTTGTTACTTTGCAACAACAATGAGCATAACGAATGGTGGTACTTATAATGTTTATTATTTACCACTAGCACCAGGCTGTAATACCTATGTTATACGTTACTGTACAGAGTGACTAGACATATTCACATGATATTTGCTTAATTAATGAAACATTGAGTACAGTACTGCGATCATGCAGCGGTCTGCTGTTATTCACAATCCTTCTCATCTAAATACTCGTGGCACTATTTCCAAAAACCAATTACTTTCTATTTCACTTTTCTATCCTGTACATTAAAGAGAAGAACTGACGCTCTATACTGTGGGTTGAGAGCAGACTTTTCTGCTCTAAAATTCCATCTAAAAGAACATGAATTCGTCACCGATCATATATGTGAGCATTGCTTATCCTTAACAGAGATTCCAGATAAGCCACGACCAACCGTGCTCAATCGACTTACTTCAAACTTGATTTTAATTGCCTAGGTCAAAAGTACAATTAATAGTAAGTCTAATCTGACATATTAACTGCAACTATTTCTAGAGTCTCTAGATTTTTGTGTTGATAATGGCCGTTACTGGCCGAAAATTCCACAGAAAATTATAACTGAAATAAAAAGATGAAGTCGGAAATAGCTGCAGTTAATACGTCAGATTGGATTTTAAAATCGTTCCCCTTTACTGACATTGAATAGTAAGTCTTTTGTCGCAAACCGCAGTTCTATAACCCAAGTAGTTGCAACTTCCTCTCTCTTCAAATATAAGGCGCTCCGCATTCAAAGGTAAAGCACTATTTTATTTTTGGCCGAAAGATACACCATTCGACGCAGAATTTTGCGCCGGTCACGAATATCTTATTCAAAAAAATTTCAGTGCGCCTTTTCGACGAGAAAAATTAAGAGCTGGCATTTTTTCGAAAAATCGCAAGTTTTTATGAAACATGCAATATCTCAGCTCCACAATGTCGTAGGACCTTCGAAATGCATCAGCGGGAAGAACTGCCTATAGAACAATGTATTTCAAGGTCCAACACCCATGGGAAGTGCGCAATATCTCGTTAAACTTTAGAAGGCTTCGATTTCGACTCCCTCCTTGAAACGTTCAACCAACTGACGTATCCTTCTTCTGAAATTCTTTGGTGAAAATATGGACGACTTTTCAACATGAAAATTCGAAGAAAATCGAAGTACTTCGTATAGGATAGAAAGACACATCAGTCAGCTCCGTTTTCGATCCTGCTTCCAAATATGATGTTTGTATTGCATAAAAGTTGAGTTCTGATTGAGAAAAGTGAGAATTACTGGCAGAATTACGACTTTTTCGCCTCAGATTTAGAAAAAATGAATGTTCTCAGCAATGAGAAAGAATTTCAGAAAAGGATACGTCAGTTTGTTGTAGGTTTCAAGGCGGTTCGAATGACGTAAGAATCAAGGCTCTATCTCCTAAACTCTAGGAGGAGATAGGTTTGCGAGCGGAGGGGTGTAACGGCCGCTTGCTGTTACATATTTTATTTTCTCTCTCTCTTAAAAAGTTTGAGAAACTTCTGCTATGCGCTCTTTGTATAGAGCGAGTGAAATCAGTTAATAATTGATTTTTATTATTATTTTATGTTTCATAGTGACGCGAAATGTGGAGACACATTATCTTCGTGTCGACAATTCATTAAAAGAATCAGTTTTTATCTTCTTCAAAATTTTTAAACTAAAATTCTAAACTTCTTCTACTTCTTCTTCTCTCGTCTTAAGAGAAGAGGAGTTTTCATCATCTCCAATCTTCTTCTTCTTCTTTTACCATACAAAAGAAGAAGAAAGTCGAATACTTTAAGTTTATAATTAATAAAAACTAAATTTTACAATTAATTTATCCTTAATATTCTTTTAATATTATAAAATATAATTTAGTGTTTCCATTTGCATTACTATAATTTCGTTCTGCACTCCTTCTCCTCCTCATAGATGTCAATTCAAAGACTGCAATACAGAACTATGCAGACTATGAGAACTTTCAAGCCCAGACAAACAGAAAGCAAACTACTCAGAACTATAACAACTATTTCAGAACTACGAGAACTATCTCAGAACTATTCAGAACTCTGAGAACTATTCATTGAGAACTATGAGACCTCTACAGAACTATGAGAACTATTCATTGAGAACCATGAGAACTGTGAGAATTATACAAAACTATGAGAACTATTTCAGAACTATACAGAACTATGAGAACCATTCATTGAAAACTACGAGAACTATTCAGAACTATGAGAACTATTTCAGAACTATGAGAACTACCCATTGTGAACCAGTTCAGAACTATTCAGAACCATGAGAACTATACAGAACTATGAGAACTATACAGAACTATGAGAACTATACATAACTATCAGTACTATTTCAGAACTGTGAGAACTATGAGAACGATTCGTAACTATGAGAACTATTTCAGAACCGTGCAGAACTATGAGAACTATTTCAGAACTATTTAGAACTGTGAGAACTATTTCAGAACTGTGCAGAACTATGAGAACTATTTCAGAACCATTCGGTACAAAATTTTTTAAAATTTTGCAAACCATATAGCATGATAGCGCGAAAAAATTTTGAGCAAAATAAGACTTCTTCCGGCATTCTATAGCGCTTTTTCACGCAATTGCAGTCGATTTACCACTAGCCACAAGGGGCGTCAAAGTTACCAAAATATTTCGGTGAAGCAGCGCTATGGAATGCCAGGAGCAGTCTTGTTTTGCTCAGAATTTTTCGCTCTATCATGCTATATGGTTTGCAAAATTTTCTCGCTAAAAACTAAGGACTTGGTTTTTAAGCAGTCAGGTTTTCCAGACGCTGTATTATCAACTTTTCTCATGAAAGGCCGACATGCACTTAATCTGATAGAAAAATCTTCGGGCTATTCAAAACATTATTCAGATTGGTTCCAGCTAAAAGGTCAAAAACAAGGGAGTTCTTGTGACTATGACACACGGTACTGCTTAGGTAACACCCAAAAGTTTCTTTTCAATATCTTTAATGACAGACCCCACGTATCTGGATATTGTGACCAGCTCACTTTGTAGAGAATTTCAAGGGCTATCCAGTGGTATGTTTTGGAACAATACATAATTTCATTATGGCAGAAAAACGACTAACGGAGTGTGAAAGCACTAAGATAGGTCAAAATCATTATATCGGACAAGTATTTCAACTATTGACCCATGTAGGCATATTTCCGAAAGACGTATTTATGGCTCATTTTGAAGCTCGTGAAATTCTCTATTGAATGGTATATCTATCTGTTACAGGCCTAGGCCTTGCACATAACGCGTAATCGTGATCTATGCGTATATTATTGCATCATCTCGTCACATGGTTACCCGCGTGACTTCTAGGTCCTACATGTGCTATTATTGAAGAATTATTTTCTTCCTTCGTCCAGTCCCTTGTTTTTCTACATTTATTCGTTTTCTCCCTCGTTCATATATATCTATGATTCTTTTCCTTTGTTCTCTGTTTTATTCACCGATATATATATAGTGTATGTTTCTCATTTTTTGGTAGTACTACTAGACACCATCGCGTATCGTGCACATCGTCACCTGTTATTCGTTTTGTGTTTGTCCATTTTCATCTCTTTTGTTTAAGTTTGTTTTCAATAAAAGCAGATTCCGCTTTCAGCAACAATCGGTTTTTTTAATATCAACTTCAATTTAGTGAGACCATCGCTCACATTTGGCGACCCTGACAACTTCTTCATAATTCCTCATCATCTGAAGATGAAGAACGAACTCAAGCAACATTAGACTAGCGGTAGTTGTGATTGGAAACTTATTTGAGAGCCGACCGAAAGGTAGACTCATTTGTATTGAGAGCCGACCGAAAGGTAGACTCATTCTATTGAGAGCCGGCCCTTAGGCAGACTCATTACTTCATTTACTGTTCATATTCCATCCGTGAGAGTCGTCTTATAAGGAGACTCATTCATAATTACTCATACATTGATTCAAAAAAGAGGTGAGTGTATTTTCTTTCTTTGCGTTTCGTGAATAGAGTTATCGAGGACTGCTCTCGTTCTGCAATCCATTTCTTGGGCTTGGAATACTCTTTTCGGTGGATCCGTGTTCTTATTCCAACAGAGATCTTTCTTGAAGAAAGATCAGTTTGTAGATCTCACCGATGAGGAGATCATTATCGAAGTTTTTGAATCCAGAGATGTTTCTCAAAGAAAGATTGTATTGACATCTTACTGCTAGCGACATCACTGTTCACATTTTTTGGACATATTGATTTTTACAATATCGAGAACGAATCACGCTCGATTTTCTTTTTAAAAATTGCACTATGTCAATAAATATCGGGAAATCCGAATTACTCGTTGGTTTTTCATAATTATTCATAACGGCTTCGGGGACGAGATCAAAAATAAAAGAAACTTGTCAAACATTAATTTCTTATCATCACATTACCGATACTCCTTCTCGACAACACAAATCCAGTTCGCTTACTACAACACCAAGCGGCCCGTCTCCCACCGCAGCAACTACAACATCATCTGTTTTATCGTCTCAAATCATCAAAATGTCTGACTCATTAATTGCATTAGCTCGAAAGGCTAGATTTACTGACCTTCCCAGTTTCTCCGGACAACCATCAGAGGACGTCGAACAATTTCTGAGGAGTATCAAGAACCTAACAAAGAGTGATACGGAAATCACCGATGCTCAGCGGTTGGAAATTGTTCGAGGCAAATTAACCCAGACGGTCGGTAAATGGTTCGACGATAATGACTTTCAAACATGGTCAGAATTTGAAACAGAATTTCGAAATCGATATTCCTCATCCACGCAATCTCAACTTAGATTCGATCAGTTATTACAACGAAAACAGGAGCCATCTGAATCCGTTGCCA